GTTGTTTTGGTGGGCCCAGGCTGGATTCAAACCCGCCACCTTAGGTGTATGTGGCTGGCGCCTTAGCCACTTGAGCTACGGGCACCAAGCCTGTCTTTAATGTCTGTAAGATGAGGACAAAGAGGCAGTGTAGATGAGGAAAACTCTCTTGAATTCAAAGTTAGGTCACCTAGAAACTGGTCATTTCATCCATGATGTCCAGTAGGCGAACCCCAGCTGGACTGTCCCCTTTATGTCAGCACACCAGTTGACTCACACACGGCAAGGCACAGTGTGTGGTAGGATCTCAATGAATGCTTGTTGAATGAATAAATCAAGCATTTGAAGCCTGGATGGAGATTAACAGTAATAGACTTATTTCCTTATTCATCGTTTCCAAATATTTGGGGATTTTCTAGCTGTCCTTTTGTTTTTGGTTTACAGCTTAATTCTACTATGGACAGACAACACATTCTGTATGATGTCATTGAATGTGTTAAGACTGGATTTACAACCCAATTTCAGGTCCATGTGTCCTTGAAGCAGATCTGTCTTCTTCATTTGTTGAGTACAGTATAGAAACTTGCGAATTGGGTCAAGTTTGTTAATGACATCATCCCCATCTTCATTGCCAGGATTTTTTTGTTTCTTCTGTTATTTACTGACAGAGCTATATAAAAGCTACTATGACTTGTGTGCTTTCTTCATTTTAGTTCTATCAATATTTTATTTTATATACATTGAAGCTATGTGTACAAATTTAGAAGAGTTGTGTCTTCCTGGTGGGTTGACTCTTTCTTTATCATAATCAATCCTGTTTTTGTCTCTAGTTATGTTTCTTATCCTAAAGTCCACATTATCTGACTGTATACCAGTTTTCTTGTAATTAAAGAAAATGGAGTATCTTTTTCCATACTTTCACATTGAATCTTTGTGTCTCTTGTAAGAAATAAAAATCTCAATTGTTTTGTTAAATTCAAACAAAACAATTTGGGAGTGGGTGATTCTGGTGATCTTTGTCTTTTCATTACAGTTATTTGAAACCCCATAAGACATAATTTTTGTCTTACACAGTTGATCTTCGTTTAGATTTACCTACAGTTTCCTGTTCTGTACCCTCATTCCTTCCTTCATACTAACATGTGTGGGATTATTTTTTCTACTAGCCTGAGGAACCCCCTATGTTATTTCCATCTTATGGACCTCTGCTAACAGATTCTCTCATTTTTGTCTGTCTGAATGTCCTTATTTCACCTTCACTCTCTTCAGTGGGTACAGAGTTTTGGCTGATTTATTTTTTTCAGCCCTCTGAAAATGCAATGCTGTTACCATCCTCCCCTTACTTTTGTTGGGAGGCCAGCTGGGAGTCTTTCTGCTGCTCTTTCGAAGGCAAAGTACTTTTTACATTTTGGCTGCATTTGAGAATTTTCTCTTTGTCTTGGATTCTCTGCAGCTGGATTTTGATGTGCCCAGATGTGGTTTTCTTTGTAAACTGCTGGGGCTTGCTATCATTTTCAATTCTGGAAAATTCTTGGTCGTTATTTCAGATGTTTTTGTTGCATATCTTTTCTCGGGATTCCGATCATGTGGATATTAGACCTCTCTAAACTCTCTGCCCTGACTTCTGGAATGTAGCGCTGGACCCACTGGGAAGCCTGAGGCTGTTTAACAGCCTTTTTGGCAGGCTCTGAGCTGTAATTTTTGTCTCCTAATCCCCAGAGGCTGCCTAAAGCTCTGCCTAGCTGTCAGCCTGTTGACTGCTGTCTGCTGTGGAATCAGCAAATGCCTTCCAGGGAAAAGCAGAGACAACTGTGAAGCTTACCCTGTACCTTACTCACCCCTCTGGGTTCTTGGCCCCTCTGCTGCCTCAGAGTTTCCCACGTGTCCAAACATATGTTTTTGGTATTTTATCTACCTTTCTTAGTTGTTCTTGGCAGGAAGGCTACCTAATACAAGCTAGCCCGCCATACCCAGGAACAGATGTGTTGCTGTGCAGAAATGACAAAGATACGATTTCTGTCCCTTGGGCCTAAGGAGCTGGTGGCAGAGCCAGACATGACAACAGAGTAAAGCAAGGCAGACAGCTATTCGAAAGGGACTCAGAAAGACATGAGATCCGATTAGGAGGACCTGAGAAGGACTGTGACAAATGCCATTTGCAGAGGAGGGGAGGGAGGAACATTGTTGTAGGTGGCAAAACTGAAGCCCAGTAAAGGCTGATGGAATTGGACCCATGTACCATGGGAGGGGCTTGGGTGAGGGAAGGGAGACACTGTCATTGGAACTGGAGCCAAGGGGGTGTGTGTGCCACAGTGTAAAGGCTTTTGATTCCCAGGCTGAACCTGTACATTTTTCATATGTGATGGTAGCTAGGGGTAACCCATTCTGGCTTTACCTGTACTAACTGTGCAACTCTGGCAAAGTCCCCAATCCTCTCTGGTTCGTGATTTTGTCCCATATAAAATAAGAATCCTAATAACAGCTGCCTCCTCTACTCCCCAGGGCTCCTGTGAGACAGCTGAGTTTGTGAATGCAAATATGCTTTGATGGGAAAGAGGGTGGTGAGGACAGTTTCCCTATGGAGCCACGCTACTAGTTGGTCAGGCTGTAGTTGGTGGGGACTATCGCATGAACCTACTACTTTTCGGGCCTTGTTTGCAGGATGAGGATGGCTGGCTTTCCAGGGATGGGGCTTCCAAAGCACTTGGTTCCCACAGTTCTCCAAGCACTGACATCTCTATTCCAGTGTCCACCTTTAGGCACTGGACACTGCTGGCCACCCGACAGACACATCTCTCCAAGGCAGATTATTCCTCAATGGGTAGTCTGGGGCAGCTCTGTTCACTGGAGAGTTGTGCAGACCTGCCTCAACAGCAGCTTGCTGGAATCTGAGCAGTGGGATTATCCTTCCCCTCCCCACATGCAAGAGTATCTTTTGCCCCCTTCTGCTTCCACCTGTTCATCCTGGTTTTGCCTTTGGGGCCCCACACCCCAGTCTGCTTCTCTTCCATGAGACACACCTACAGCCTTTTTAAGACAGTCTCTCTCTCTCTGAATGATAGAAGGACCAAGGTACATAGGTCTGTTGCTATGTGTCTCAGTCTGGAATTCTTACAGGTAGGCTCCACCAAGTATGGTGACCAAAACCTTGAGGATTTTAAAGTTCATTTAGCAAATGCTCTTATCATATTTTTTAGGTGCCATTCATTTAATATTCATTTTATGAGCTAGATATGATTGTTACCCCCATTTTATACATGAGGAAATGCAAGCACAGAGAAGTATGTTGCCCAGAGGTGCACAGCTAGCAAACAGAATGGGGATTCAAACTCAGACTGTCTGGCTCCAGAGTCTGTGCTCCTCCCCACTCTGCTGCCTACCCTCCCGGCCTAATGCCTGGCTGCTTAGCCCCTCTCCTTTGGACCTTACCATAATGCCTCCCCTCTGAGCTGACAGCAGACTTGCTCAGCACCTGGGACCCCCAGGGACAGACACCATGAGAAGGAAAAGAACTGTCTACAGGGCATCCTTGGCTTCTCTAAGTGTGAGACACAGACCTGCTCTCTGAGGCTGCTAAAGACAGGCCCTGGCTGAGAGCTGTTCAAGGAGTCTCTCCTGGTGACTTCCTCAACTGGTGTCTTCACCCTCTGGCTGCCCAAAGGAGAAGGCATGATGAGATCGGAAGCCTGAGTGAGTGTTTGGTGTATCCCTTGGAGAACTTCCCCATGTGGGTAGCACTCTCAAGCCCCAGGCTTCGTAAGTGGCTCAATCACCTTCTCATTCAGTAAACGTGTCCATAGAACCTGTGCTATTTACTCTGGAGGCGCCAGAGAAGAATAACCCACACGTCCCGCTCTTCAGAAGTTTGTGACCTAATTAGGGGTGTGGAACTACATGGGAAGGGTCAGCAGAGTGTCTGGATCCACTACTGCCTTGGAAGGAGAGAGCCTGGGAGGCTGTCACCTGGCACCCGCATGGGGCGTGGGTCTGAGAAGATGTGAGATGTGGGGAGGTAGAGGGAGGGTGCGCTACCTGTAGGTTCTACAGCCCTCTTCTCCAGCCCCAGTGCTTCAGGAGGCTGGCCCATGCTGGTCCCTCCTTTCTTGCCTGAGGTGTCAGGTTGAGTAGGTTGAGTTTGCCCAAGAGGAGGCACCAGGGTGAGATTGGAGGCCAGAAGGAGCGTGAGTCAGCTGTTTGCCACCTCCCCTCCTGTTCCTGAGGTGGTTGTGGGTTGGGGTTGAGACCCTCTAGTGAAAATCACAGACCCAAAGAGGCAGCCCCCTCAGATGGTTCTGCTGCCCAGTCCCTCCCTGGGGAGCCTGTTAGCCTAAGGGTGGCACCAGCTCCCCTGGGTTGCCAGCCCTGGGGAATGACTCTAGCATGTTTTAGATCCCCAGACCTCTGTTTGCACCTCCATAGTCTTTAAAAACACTCTTTGAGAGTGGCACCTGTGGCTCAGTGAGTAGGGTGCCAGCCCCATATACCAAGGGTGGGTATTCAAACCCAGCCCAGGCCAAAATGCAACAACAGCAAAAAAAAAAAAAAAAATAGCCCAGCCACAGCCTGTAGGCCACTAATCAGGCGGCAGAGCAAAGAGAATTGCCTAAGCCCAAGAGCTGGAGGTTGCTGTGAGCTGTGACACAACAGCACTCTACGGAGGGTAACAAAGTGAGACTCTGTCTCTTAAAAAAAAAAAAAAAAAAACTCTCTTCAAATTAAGTTGGAGAGTGCTCTGCTCCCTGCCAGAACCCCCACGGAAAACAGCATTCCAGAGACAGGAAAATGGGAGAACAAAGTATCTGGAACTCCTAGACTTGAACGGTGGAGGCAGCAGGTGGGAGCGGAGCTGGGATGAAATCCGGAAGGAGAGAGCTTTGTGTACTACACAAAGGACTGTGTGAGGTCACTGGGTGTTCTGCAGGTCTCTGTGCATCCCATCTCATCGCATCTGTGCTCTCTTCCAGGAAGCTTCTGCTGCCTGCGCCCCGCCTGCCCTTCCTAACTGCCCGGGGGCCCTTCCATGGGATCCTGGGCTGAGACTGAGATGGAGAAGCTCCAGGGGACCTGCCTGTGCCTCTGTGTGGCTGTGCTGGCCTTGCTGCCCTCCCCAAGCCTGGCGCAATATGACAGCTGGCCCTACTACCCCGAGTACTTCCAGCAGCCGGCGCCCGAGTACCAGCAGCCTCGGGTGCCCGCCGATGTGGCGAAGGTCCAGCTGCGCCTGACCGGGCAGAAGAGGAAGCACAATGAGGGCCGCGTGGAGGTGTACTATAGCGGCCAGTGGGGCACTGTGTGCGACGACGACTTCTCCATCCACGCTGCCCACGTCGTCTGCCGGGAGCTGGGCTACGTGGAGGCCAAGTCCTGGACTGCCAGCTCCTCCTATGGCAAGGGGGAAGGTGAGCCCCCCTGTGCTTTGGAACCGAGTGCTGTGTCACCTGGCACGACCCAGGAGCAGCCTTGGGTGAGGTCAGCCTGGTGACGGAGGCTGTAATCACTATGAATGTACCTTCCCTCTGGGGGTGCCATCCTGTGCCCACACAGGCTGTACCCTGCAGGAAGGTGGGAGGGGAGGGGTGAGTAGGGAGGGACCCACCAACCATCCTGATTTGCCCTGGACTTTCCTGGTTTTAGTATGAAAAGTCTCACATCTTGAAAAACTGCTGAATTTCAGACAAACTAGGATGGCTGGTGACCCTAAGTCAGGGGTGAAACCAACCTGCACTTTTCTGTCCAAGCCACAGGCCCTGCCTGGTGGCTGCATCAGCTCAGGGGAGTTGTGCCTCACCCCAAATCTTTCCCTCAATTGAGAGCCTTGGGTCTTTGTCACAAATGTTCCCACATGCAAGAGTTCCCTGCCTCTCCCACCTTCTTGCCTCTAATGGGTTTATGGTTCTGACGCTCATCTGTGCGGCCCTGTCCTGACCAAGCCCACCCCATTGTGGGCTTGGTCATGACAGGAACAGAGTCACTTTGGGGTTCTCACCTTTGGGTGGCTTTTTGTTTCCACCTTTGTTAGGTTTGCATCCATTTATTTATTTGTAAACTGTTGTGGAAGTCTTGAGGGAGGGTGGGTATTGGAGCCCTGAAGCTCCAGCTCAGTCCTGGTACTGCCCTCACCAACTATGTGTGTTATAGAAAGACACATACCCCCCTCTTCAGCCTCAGGTTCCCCATTGGGAAGTTAGGGTCCCTAAGAACACTTGAAATCCTGATGTTCTCTGTTCCCAAACAGTAAAGTGAATAAGTGTGAAGGGCATTGTTTTTTAAAAAATGTTTTCCAGGAGCTAAGGGTTCGCCATCCCCAGGTTGGTAAAGCAGATGTGGCTACAGCACCAGCTGAACCACCGCACTGGCCTCAGGTCAGGCCTGGCTGCTTAGACTAGAGGGTTAATGCCACACTAGCTGCTTAAGAATCACCTGAGAGGGCTTAAAAATATAGATTATCTCAGATATCAGCCAACGATAATCTGGTTTAAAAAGTCTGGGCTGGAGCCTCAGACTCTGTGGCTTTGGGAAACCTAGGAGGTGATTGTTGGTGCACTCAGGCATGGGAGTTATTGAAATAGATAACTGTGGGCTCGGCGCCTATAGCTCAACCGGCTAAGTCACCAGCCACGTACACCTAAGGTGGTGGGTTCGAATCCCCAGCCCGGACCCGCCAAACAACAATGATGGCTGCAACCAAAAAATAGCCGGGCATTGTGGCGGGCGCCTGTGGTCCCAGCTACTTGGGAGGCGGAGGCAGGAGACTCGCTTGAGCCCAGGAGTTGGAGGTTGCTGTGAGCTGTAATGCCACAGCACTCTACCCAGGGGAACAGCTTGAGGCTCTGTCTCAAAAAAAAAAAAAAAAGAAATAGATAACTGTGGTGCTCCCCTCCAAGCCTCCTTTCTGTTACTCTAGAAATTCTGGGAGAAAGGAAGTGCCATCTCATACATGTCTTACCTCCACAATTGAAAATTTCCTTTTGGAGTGACTGGATCAGGAGATAGCACTTAAGGTGTATGTTCTCTGAAGCTCACTCTGGGCTCCTGGGCAGTGATGAGAGGCAAAGTGGTGAAGATGAGCTAGCAAATGCTAGCAAGCCCACTTCCTATCTCCTTTAAACAAACTCCTATCTTCCAGTCTCTGCCTAGCTCGCTGAGCCACCCAGGGGAACAGCAGATTCACCTAGTCTAGGCTCTCCAATCCTCAGTTATTTTATAACAAGTGCATTCCAATGATGGAGGTATTTTCCAGCAAAAACTTTATTTCCATGCAAATTTAAAATTTACCTGTCATCAGACAAGAGGGTTGTGGTTTTTTCCCATTAGGAGCAGAAGAAAGAGCCTTACCTGGGTGTGACTTTGGCATCCAAGGATGCAAAGTTTGAGGGAGTGGAGAAAATAGGAAAGGGAACAATTAAAATCGTGGTCCTTGGAGTTTGTGCTGGGGAAGGAGGGAAGGAATCCATGGAGGAGGAGAAAGATGGTGCAGAACTGGTAGGACCTATGGGGTGTCAGTCTTTGTTTTGATTGGGGTACGAGAAGTATGCTAGAAAGATTAGGGCCATGAATGCAGAGCAGGAGGGTGGAATGGACATTGAGGCGTCCAGTCACTGGTGGTGACACAGCCTGAGCTATCACTGGGTGTCAGCAGGTACAGTAAGGTGGAAAAGTCATAGACACAGGAGCTGTCATAACAAAGACACCAAGAGTACTGGCAAGGGCATCTTTGTGGACATTGAAACCATCAAGGGTTATAACAGGAAGAGAGTCTAAGAGAGAACAGGGAGAAACAGACACTTAAAAAAAAGAACACTATTTTGTGCTTAGGGCTTCATGAATTAGACTGTCTATATAAAGTAGTACTTGATTGGCTTGGCGCCTGTGGCTCAAGTGGCTAAGGCACCAGCCACATACACCTAAGGTGGTGGGTTCAAATCCAGCCTGGGCTGGCCAAAACAACAATGACGGCTGCAACCAAAAAATAGCCAGGCGTTGTGGCGAGCACCTGTGGTCCCAGCTGCTTGGGAGGCAGAGGCAGGAGACTCGCTTGAGCCCAGGAGTTAGAGGTTGCTGTGAGCTGTGATGCCACGGCACTCTGCCTAGGGGGACTGCTTGAGGCTCTGTCTCAAAAAAAAAAAAAAAAAAGTAGTACTTGATTTATGCTGAGAGAAACCTTTTAAATCTAAATGTATTTCAATTTCACCAGTATCAATGAAGGTTTCTTTTTTAGCACTGGGTGCATTTAGCCTGTGAGTGGGGATCTGTGGATGGGAACCTCACTGCTGACCCCATGAGAGTCAGCCCCTCTAGGAATCTCACGCTCCTCTGAAGTTCAGGCTACAATAATGGAGCCAGGGACACCACGAGGACTTTTGAGTTTTCCAGCCTAGCCTGTCAACAGGTCTCTCTCCCAAAGCATTTCTGAGCTGACGTGAACCTTTCAGAGAGTTCTGGAGGGAACACCTGTCCCAATTTCTTACCCTTGGGGTGGGGCTCGAAACAACTTGCACATAAAGTGGTTGGTCTCAACTGTCTTCAGAACTGAGAGGCTGACCCTGCTCCCATCACCTCCCCCACACTTTAGATTGAAATGACAGAGCCAGCAATGACCACATTGGGATCTGAAATAATTTCCATTGCCCTAACAGAGCCCAGGAGCTCTGGCATTCAAATGGAATCCCATTTATGGTTTTTATCTTACAAATGACCTGTTAATTTGTTTGTATATCTCTTCCATCATCAGGAGAGGGATTGCTCAGACTCTCATAAATGGATAGAAAGAGTAAAATGAAATTTGGCTTCTGATTGAATGGCTCCTTTGTTTTCAAAGTTCGAGTTGCAAACTGTCCCTGGTAGCAGTAACTGTGTGCTAGCAGCCACCCCCAGCCCTTAGCAAGGGGGGTCTCTCACTGCAGATGGGACAGGGTGCTCCTGTTTCTCACCATCCCTGCTAATCCAGCAGCTTTACTGAAGAATGTTCCAAGGAAGAGGCCCTGCTTCAAATGTGGAGGGTCTTTCCAGTGCGAGTACTTAGCAAAACAAACATAGGTTTGTTGTTAAGACAGCAATCGATTAGGGAGCGTATGTTTCAGTGGAGCTTGACGGCTTGGTAACCAGGCCAAATTGAGAAACCAGTTGGAAAACCTCAGCCCAGATGTTTTCAATCAGTTCTTTGTTACTCACAATGCATGAAGGGGTGCTCTCGTTTGAGCCCCAACCAGCAGCCATCAGAGCAGACATGCTTCAGCAGGAAGCATCCTGGAAGTCAGGATACTAGACCCCTATCCTCCCTAACCTCGAGGGGCCACAGCTTCTCTTCCTTGGTTTTCTAATCTCTACAGTGGGGGTGTTTATATCTGCTTTCTTCCTTGCATCATGGAACAAGAATTCATTGCTTTTCTGACTATCTGGAGAAAGGAAGGGGAAGGGAGATTGAACGTGTAGGCACATCATTACTTTCCTGAATCTCCATGGCAACCTCTTTGTTGACATGGTGGTTTTTACTTTAGAAATGGGAAGTGGCCTTGGTCAAATACAGTAGTTGGCCACATCACAGAGAGCCTAGGTTTGTGGCAGTTGGAATTTGAGCTCAGGTTTGTTTGATTCTGCTAATCTATAGACTCCTCAAAGAGGCTACAGGAAGAATGAGGGGTTTGTTTTGGTTTCTTTCATTTTGTTGTGGCACTTATAACAAAATCACAATTTGAAAACCCTCTAGCATTATATAAAATCTTTATTTTTAATTGTTGAAAAATAGAAGCAACATAAAATTTACCACCTTAATGATGTTCAAGTGCACAGCTCAGTAGTGCTAAGTACATTCACGTTGCTATACAGACATCACCACCATCCATATTGAGAAAGTTTTCATCTTGCAAAACTGAGACTCTGCACCCATTCAACAACCACTCCCCATTTCTCTCTCACCCTAGGCAACCACCATTCTACTTTTTGCTTCCCTGATTTGATTCATATAGTATTTGTCTTTTGTGACCGACTTATTTAACTTAGCATAATGTTCTTACAATTCATCCAAGTTATAGTATGTGTCAGAGTTTGCTTCCTTGTAAGGCTGAATAATGTTCCATTGTATGGATAGCCCACAGTTTGTTGATGGGTATTTGCATTTGAGTTGCTTCCATTTCTTGGCTATTGTGAATGATGCTTCTATGGACAGGGGTGTGCAGGTATCTCTGGGTTTGTATAGCTGCAGGTGGAACTGCTGGATCATATGGTAACTGTAGTTTTAATTTTTTGAGAGACCACCATACTGTTTTCTATTGCAGCTGCACCATTTTACACTCCCACCAACAGTGCACAAGGATTCTAGTTTCTCCACTTCTCTGCCAGCACTGTTATTTTCTGGGGGTTTTGATAGTAGTCATCCTAAGGGGTGTGAAGTGGTATCTCATTGTGGTTAATCCTCTAGTACTTTGCACACCGAATTCTCTGGTTTGTGCAAGTGAGGTAAAAGAGCAGAAAGTGAGCAGAGTTCCAGGGTGGCCTTCTGGGACGTGAAGAAGTGGCTGTGTGGGTTGGTCCAGCTAGGATGCCTGAGTCCGTGCTAGGGAATGTCAGGTAGTAAAAAGAGCACCGGATAGGCAATCAGATCCAGCTTCTGGGCTTAGGGGGTGGTGGGAATACTCCCTCCATCTCATCCTCTTCCCTGGGGGATGAGAAGACCAGGGAGGAAACAGGTGAACATGCCTTCATAACTTCAAACCCTCAATGGCAGGACAGCTTCGCTTTCCCCTGAGAGGTCAGAGTTCAGCCTCTGCTGCAGGAAGGTAGGGCTGGCTTGTGCCATCATCAGTGTCTCTAAGTCATCATCATCACTGTTACCATTTTATAGTAACCATGGCGATTATTAAATTGCACACACCTCTGCAATTCAATTCATTGTTATCCCAGCTTTACTGATGAGAAAAAGGGGCTTTGGCCAAGGTCATACAGCTAAGTGGCAGAACCAGAATTCAAACCAAGCTTAGTACTCAAAACCAAACACTTCCTACTGTTTCATGTGACTTCCAGGCTCAAATCTGATTCCCATTCTAATAGTGTTCTATCTACCACATCCTCAAATCACATCAGTTCCCTACTCAGGCAAGGGAATCCAGATGGTCTAGAACAGGGGTCCTCAAACTTTTTAAAAAGGGAACCAGTTCACTGTCCCTCAGACCATTGGAGGGCTGGACTACGGGCCCTGGGACGAGTCAGCTGCTAAGCAGGACAGGCAGTGGTGGCAAAAACAACCGGCAGAGGCTCGGCACCTATAGCTCAACCGGCTAAGGCGCCAGCCACATACACCTAAGGTGGCGGGTTCGAATCCCCAGCCCGGACCTGCCAAACAACAATGATGGCTGCAACCAAAAAATAGCCGGGCGTTGTGGCGGGCGCCTGTGGTCCCAGCTACTTGGGAGGCGGAGGCAGGTGACTCACTTGAGCCCAGGAGTTGGGGGACAGCTTGAGGCTCTGTCTCAAAAAAAAAAAAAAACAACCGGCAGACCGGATAAATGTCCTAGGTGGGCTGCATGTGGCCTGCAGGCCGTAGTTTGAGGATGCCTGGTCTAGAACTTCATTTGTAACATAATAAAAATCAATCAATGGCCACACACAGCTCCTAAATTAGAGAGGATTCTCTTTTCATGTAAGAAATTGGTGCCCCCAAACCTGCATTGACGTGGCACTTGGTTTCTCTCTTCTCTGCCTCTTTCAGGACCCATCTGGCTGGACAATGTCTACTGCACTGGCAAGGAGGCGACCCTTGCAGCCTGCTCCTCCAACGGCTGGGGTGTCACTGACTGCAAGCACACGGAAGACGTCGGTGTGGTATGCAGTGAAAAGAGGATTCCTGGGTTCAAATTTGACAATTCCTTGGTCAACCAGATAGAGGCAAGTCATGTTTTTTTGATGACTCCTTCATGTAAAGCTTCTTTCTTCTTCCATGGAACTCACTTCTTGCCTACTGATTTCAAGATGTGTGTGAACACTAAGGAGAGGGGCCCAATTCAACCAGATTTGGTGGAAGGGTTGTTGAGGGAAGGGTTTCTGGAGAACGGGATCCCTTCAGTGGGGAGAGGGCACCCCAGGCACGGAGAACAACTTGGGTAAAGGCACAGAGATGTGAGGGTGGGTGCAGATTGGCTTTCAGCAGAGAATAGCACTCAGAGTACATTGGGTGCATCTGTGAGCAGTGTGGACTGGAGCTAGAAAGGCAGGCATGCAACACCTTCTGTGCCATGTTTAGGAGTTTGCCCTTTGGGCTAGGGAAAAGTAGTAGTTATCAATTGCTGCTTAACAAATTGCCTCCAGATTTTGTAGCTTAAAAGAGTGAACGTGCATAATGTCACACAGTTGCTGAGGGTCAGGAACCAAGGAGCAGCCGAGCTACTGGATTCTGCCCAGAATCTCTCACGAAGTTGCTGTCAGGCCACCGGTGAGGGCAGGTCGGGTCTTTCCCACACTGGCTTCTTGGACTTTAGTTCTGCTGGCTGCAGGCTGGAGCCCTCAGCTCCTCTCTATGTGGCCTCTCTGTGGGCTGCCTGAGTGGCCTCAACATGTGGCAGCTGTCTTCCCCAGAGTGAGTGGTCCAAAGGAGAGTGAGAGAAGGAACATGAGATGGAAGCCACAGAGCTTCCCAACCTTGTCTTGGAAGCGATACCTTAATACCGTCATTTGTGCCATATTCTACTGATCACTCACCCACCCTGGTATGGTGTGGGAGGAGATTACTCAAGGGGTGTGAATCAGAAGGTGGGGTCACTGGGTGTTATCTTGGAAACTGGCTACAACTGGACAGTTGTTTCCAAATCTAGCTGAGGATCAGAATCACCTTAGAAGTGCAAGTACTGGGGCCTCCCCCCTCACCTGCTGACTCAGAATTTCCTACTATGGGATCAGATTATTTTTCTTTAAGCTTTCCCAGATGATTCGATCTGATGACCCTTCTGCTCCACTTATGGCTAAGTGTTTGGCCGTTTGGATTTTCTTTTCCAAACAATTACATTAATAAGCACTCACTGCACATCTCTTACGTGCAAAATATGTGGGACTCCGAATGGGAAGACTCAGCAAACAAGACTCCTGTTCTCAAACAACATGCAGGGCTTGACCAAGAAGCCTGGTCCAGGAGTTGGCACTGCTTTGGCCTTCCGCTGACCCCAGCCCTGAGGGAGGAAAGGTGACTTGGGCTCCAGAGGAGGCTCCGCCCAGACTGTGGTCTTTCCCATCATGACTCACCCTGAGCTACTCTTTCCTCACGTGTTCCTAGAACACACCACACACACTGGGAACGTGTCCATGCCTGCTCCATAGCATGGGAGAGACTTTCCAGCCTGCTCTTAGCTGGAAGGATGAGACCACTTCAGTTGAACTCTTTGAATCTGCTGTTTGATTGGCACTAACTAGAGAGATTATCATGGAATCCATAGTAATTTATTTAGCGTTCAGTCACTCATGACAACTTCACTTTACCATAAAGTTTACTATTTGGAGGGGGCATTTGTCTAGTCTAGTTTTACAGAACTTTCCATCTCCACTCTTTGTAACCTCATATAGAATAATTAGCATTCATGTATACATATCTCATCTCCCCCATGAGATTGGAAGCTTCCAGAGAGCGGGCAGGTACTATGTCTTACTTATCATTGAATCAAATAGATAAAATCTAGGAACCTACCTAATAGGAACAATATCACCAACTCTGAGATTTTCTTTTCCCCAGAAGTACAAACTGGAGATCATTAACCCCTTAGGTGGAGGATCTCCCAGAAGAAAATATAAACTAAACAGCCATGAGAGACACCCAGGAGCAAGTCATTCCTTCATAGCATCGCCCTGCCTCATAGGGCAGTGAGCTCATTTGTAACATCTTTTATAGGCCTCTATTCAACCTAGAACCTCAGTAAGTCCGCTTGGAGTATCAAGTGAAGACCCAGGCTTCTTGGCACAAGAATGTCATTGATGGTTTGAATAAAAGAAAGAAAGGCCGGAATGCCAGTGGATTTAAGGCCAAGAAAATGAGAAGACTCCCTTGCCACTAGAAGAAATGATTTTGGACAAAGGACTCTGAGTGGCACTTCACTAGATACGTGTTTATTAAATACCTACGTTGTGCCGGTTTCAGCGTTTCACATTTACAGGGGACAATGAGATGGGTCTTATCAAAAGCAGAGCCTTAATGGGGTAGAATCAGGATAGAAAAGACTGAAAAAGTTGGAATGAACTTTCTTACCCTGGAAAAGTGAGTTCCATGATAGGAAAGCTTAGCATCTACCTGCATTCTGGACATTTGTTGAGTGCCTGCTCCTCACACATTGTGGTCTGGGACAGCAGTGGAGAAAGAAAACATGGCCCTTGTTTTCCAGCCCTTAGAGCCTGCAAAGACAAGAGACAAGGCTTGGGAAAAGTGGGGGTGGTCTGGGGAGATCATTTCAAATCGGGAGCATGGACCCTAGTGAATTTACAGAAACCCAGGAAGGACAACCTGGGAAACATCTAGTGCCTGCCATGCTCTGCTTTCCTAGAAGGCCTCCGTCTTGCTGTCACACAGATCAGACTGGTTACCACGAGCCAGGGTGGAGCTGTCTTGCCCAACCACAGACCCTGAGGGAACTTTCATTGATGATCAGTGCCCTATAACTTCTTTCCTTTGGTAGCTGCTAAAAGTAGGTCATAACTTCTTCCCTTTGGTAGCTACTAAAAGTAGGTCACGAAAGGACCTAGACCTCAGGAAGTCTAAGGAGAACCTTTGTGAGTTGCCAGAAGGTTCTTGCATCCAGGTCTCTGTGGCTAAGGCTCATGCTTACTGGCAGGGCTGGGCTGGTGGGTAGGGAGCCGCCTAGGCCACCTACAAGGGGCTGTTTGTGGGATACTGAGACATTTCTCTAAAGTGCCTCATGGAATAGCCTGTGTCAGTAGCTGAAATCATGGAATCATTCCTCTGAGCTCAAGAAATGCTGCCTATTGAATTTTTGTGGACAGGAGGAAGATGCAGCTTTGGTGAATGTGCAGTTAGGTGGAGTCGCAGCTTGCTGACCAGTGATACCGCAGCAGACTGCTGACTGATGAGTATGAACACCATGGATGGCCTCTACAGTGGCCCTGCCATCCTCCTCCTGCCTCCCCACCATGTATCAGGAGTTTTCATGGAGACTAAAACACATATTGATAAAATTTATAGGAGATATAAAACTAGGAGGACTTGCTAGGATAAAAAATGATGGAACAAAGATTCAGACAAACTGCAGGAGACTGACATCACAGGCCCAAGCTGTATAATGTGAGAGATGAACATAGGGTCCTAGATCAGTGTTCACTGGGGAGAAAAAATCAGCCACAAGAGGCTCAGCGCTGATAGCACAGTGGTTATGGCACCAGCGACATGCACTGAGGCTGGCAGGTTTGAACCTGGCCGTGCCTGCTAAACAACAATGACAACTGCAACAAAAAAATAGCCAGGCATTGTGGCAGGTGCCTGTAGGCCCAGCTACTTGGGAGACTGAGGCAAGATAATCACTTAAGCCCAAGAGTTTGAGGTTACTATGAGCTGTGATGCCACAGCACTCTACCAAGGGCAAATAGTGAGACTCTGTCTCAAAAAAAAAAAAAAAAAACCAGCCACAAGAGTACAGGGTGTAGGGAAAGTGACTAAAGTAACTATTTAAAAAAAAACAAAAACAAATCTCTGAGGGCAGTAATTGACTAAGAGCTCAGTATCAGCCAAGAGTATGATATGGCTGCTAAGAAAATGAATATGAACTGTGTTACGAAAAAATTCTGCTTTTTGGGCTAATAACTGGCTGCATGCACAGTTCAGTTCTAGATCCAGCTCTTACCCATATCACCCAGAGGAGATGCCAACAGGATGGAGACAAGTCTGGAACTTATATTATATGAGGAACTAAAGATTTTGGGTCAAGGAAAGAGATTGGGAGGAGACATTATGGTTCTCTTCAAATATTTGAAGTACTATTGTGCGGAAGAGTTTTTGTAATTTATTCCAACTCCCAGAGCTAAGACAGAGGGGCAGGTAGCAGAGGTGGGTTTCAGCTCAGTGGAAGCCCCACAGTGGGTTGCTCTACTCCAGTTGATGGTGAACTCTTCAGCGCTGGAGGAGTTCAAGAGCCAGCTAGGGGACCTGCTGCCAGGAGTATTGCGGTCTGGTCGCCTGCATGGGAAAGGAAGTGGGATTAAGGTGATTGCCAAATTCTAGGAACTCTTGTTACTTAGTGTCTATGAAAACGTATCATCCCCTGTAGCAGGTGAGCCCCAGTTGGATACTGGCAGCATCCAACACTGAGTAAACTGACACCACACGTATGTTGAGTACTCATAAGAGTGCATGCACACATGCATGCACACACACACACACACACGGAAAAGGGATGCCAACTGGTGTGTGCATTGTGCTCGAGCTCTCTCCCTGCCTCTTCTCTTGGCCTCTCATGACCTTGGCCTTGAAACCAGGTGTGGGGTTTGCCCCCTTCACTCTTCCACACCAAAGTGTGAGAGTTAAAAACCTCTTGACTTCCCCTAGTTTGGGGTCTGTAAGTTCAAAGATAGTCAGTCATAAATGAAGGTCGGTGAATGCTTTCTCCATGACCTGTGACCCCAGCTGTAAACTACCGGGCTGATAAATGGGATGAGGATATTGCTGCCCCTTCCCACGCCTCCTCTGTGCATACCATTCACCCTCGTTGACTCCTGGAGATGAAGGAAGGATCACACACCACTGCAGATGGCCCTCCCAGGCTTGTGCCTCCTTCACAGCCCACTGGAATTCTCCAAGCAAAGAGTGGAAGAAAACGACATCGGTCTAGACCAAGTCCATCCTACTGTGGGATGCCAGAGGCATCTGAGTCACTGAGCCCTGGAGCCCGGCTGATGGAATT